CCCCCACTTTTTTTCCTCCATTTTAGACGGAGGTGGTGCACTCGCGGGTGATGGGGGAGGTGGGTAAGTCGTATTTGGGGGTGCAACGGTCCAAGGAGCTGGAGGTACGAAGGGGGAGGCCGCAACGGCCGGGGGGTTGGTCCCCACGTCCCGCCCCACAACAACACAAGACCCTGAGGAACTCCCGCCTCATGTCCTTGCTCCTCAAGGTGTAGATGATGGGGTTGGCCGCCGAGTTGAGGGTGGCGAAAGCGAAAAAATAATTAGCTTTATAAAGGATTCGACAAGCCCGAACCGGGCAAGAAGCGTCCATGAGGAGGATGATGAAGGCTGGTAACCAACAGATGATGAAGGCTCCTAAAACGATGGTGACCGTCTTGAGCAAAGCCAAGGTTTGGGCGGTGGCGATTTCGGCGTGGCTGGAGCGGACGATGCAGTAGATGCGGGTGTAGAGGCCGACGATGGCGAGGAGGATGAGGGTGAAGATGGTGATGACGAAGAGGATGTAGCGTTTGGAGTAGAGGGGGAGGACGGTGGAGCAATCGCGGAGGTCGCTCATGCAGTTCCAACCCATGATGGGGAGGCTGCCGATGGCGGCGGCGATGACCCAACAAGCTCCGATGAGCAAGACCATCCGGCAGTTCTTGTCGCTGCTGTAGACCTTGACCTTGGTGATGGCCACGTGGCGTTCGATGGCGATGGCCAACAAGCTGAAGACGGAGGCGGCCAAGGTGGCGAAGGCCGTGCCTTCCCTGACGAACCACTGGACCGGCGTCAAGTTGAAGGTGATGGAACCCGAGAGCAAGATGTTGGCCATGAAGGCCAACCCGGCCAAGAGATCGGAGAAAGCCAAGTTGCCGATGAAGATGTACATGGCCGAGTGGAACTTCTTGTTGCGACAGACGGAGATGAGCACCAAGAGGTTCTCCAAGACGATGAAGCAACACAAGACGACGATGAAGATGGAAACCACCCACCGGGAGGTGGTGATGGGACTCTCCGAGTCTTCTTTGGTGTAATTGTAGTGCTCCCGGATCTTCTGCGTGTTAAAATACTCCTTGTAGATGCTCCCCATGGTTCCTCACCATCCGTTGGGCCTTCAACGTCGCAAGGAGGACATGGCGCCGGCCATTCCGGGCTGCGG